TTTTGGAGCAGATACATCCCCCTTTCGTCCCCCCTGCAGATTCCTCCCAGGGTTGGCTGTCCTGGATCTGCCATGGGATTATCACCTCCTTGGTCTTCTTGTTGATGGTTGTCACCTTCCCCATCTCAGGATGGTTTGCCTTGAAGGTAAGAGAGGAAAGCAGGTGAGGAGTGGGATGACAACCCATCCTCCATGGGGGGAACCGTTCCCGGCTGCCCCTGGTCCCATTGCTCTTGGCACTGCAGGACCCAGGGTTTTGCTTCTGCCCTGGTCTAAACTTTCCCGTTCCAGATCGTGCCCGCCTACGAGCGAATGATCATCTTCCGCCTGGGCCGCATCCGGGCACCGCAGGGACCCGGCGTGGTCCTGCTGCTGCCCTTCATCGATAACTGGCAGCGAGTGGATCTGAGGACGAGGGCCTTCAATGTGCCCCCCTGCAAGGTGAGCTGCCTTGGGCATCAGGGCAGGATGGAGAGACATCTCTAAAATACCTAGAGCAGGCGGATTTTGGGATGGTCTGACCCTTGGTGCTATGCAGGGACCCAACTTTCAGTTCCTCCATCACCATGGCGAGGCAAGGGGGGTTGTGGCTGGTGCTGTGAAGCCAGAGCCCTCACCTGCCTGCCATTGAAATGCTCCTCTTGACTTTGCACACGTTGCTCAATGGAAGCATCTCAAAAACATCAATCCCTACCCTTCCCAGCTGTCTTTCAGTAACCGCCCTGTGCTGGAAACTGTCCTCACCATTCAGACTAGCCCAAACTTAATTATTTGGGTTGATTTTGTTTCTGATAACCTGCTTAATAAAGAGATCTGGAGCTGTTTGCCAGCTGGGAAAGAGGGAATGCCTTTGCTCCCAGGCACAAGGGTTGGGCCATGGGCAGGAGAGAGGAAGAGATCCTGACTCCCCTCTGTCCCAGCTGACTTCCAAGGATGGGGCGGTCATCTCCATGGGCGCCGACGTCCAATTCCGGGTGTGGGACCCCGTGTTGTCAGTCATGATGGTGAAGGACCTCATCGCGGCCACCCGGATGACGGCGCAGAACGCCATGACCAAGACCTTGGTGAAGAAAAGCCTCCGTGAGATCCAGGTGGAGAAGCTGAGGATCGGGGAGCAGCTGCTGGTGAGGACTACCCCAGCCCCCTGCAGAGCCCCCCAGGCTCCCCAAACCCTTGGGCACCAGGAAAATGTCTGGAGGGGGCTGCAAACTGGAAAGGGCTTTTGGGGAGAGAAGCAGAACAGGGCAGGGGCAGAGGGGCAATGGGTAGTGCCTGCAGCCAGCCTGGGCCAGGGCAAGATCTTGTGGGTTGAATGTCTACAAGGGATGATATAAAAGGAGGCTGGGGGGATATACTGGAATCTCTGGGGTGATTTAGAAGCCAGAGATGCTGCCTGGTGCAGCATCACACCAGGACATGTGACCCAGGGGGGAGCAAGGAAAGAGGCCAGCCTGGGAAGGAGCCATGGAAAGGGGCACGAGACAGAGCTGTCCTCCCTGTCCCGACCTCCTCCAAGCCGGGACAGCAACTGGGGGAGCAGGGTTGTACGTGAGAGTGGACAGCTTGGAGGAGGTGGACTGTTGAGCCTGGTCCAACACTCCAGATCTAAAGCTGGTGGGTAGCAGAAGTATGAGCTATGGGATGCCCATGGTTGGGGGTGCTATGGTGGGTGGTCTCCATGGCCATATCCAGCTCTACCTGGGCTGCCAACACCTCTCCCTTTCTTCCCGGCTCTGCAGCTGGAAATCAACGACATGACCAAATCCTGGGGCCTGGAGGTGGACCGGGTGGAGCTGAGCATGGAGGCTGTGCTGCAGCCACCCCGGGAGAACCTGGTGGGCCCTCTGGGCACCGTGCCACCCGTGCCTGGGCTGGAGGGACTGGATGGCACCATTCAGCAGCTGGCTGCCCATTTCTTCAGCAGCACCCTGGCTCTGGCAGGCAGTGGGACCGACGCTCCGGAGGCAGGTAAGCAACCCAGAGCCACCGTTTCTCTGCTGGGGGATGTCCCTCCTGCCCGATGACCTTTGTGTCCATCGGCTGTTTGACAGAGGAGTCAAAGTCTGGGAGATATCACTCTCCTACAAGAGCAGCACAAACAAGCTGGTAGGGGGGAGGAGAGAGGACCGCTTCGGGCACAGCTCCATACAGCACGTGGCATGTCACAACCTTTCTAACAAGACGTTGGAGATGGGACTGGGGAGGGCAGGAGCAGATCTGCAGGAGCCCGGGCTCGAGACCAACTCAGATCTCAGCATTTCCATCAGGCAAACGCAAGCCTGAGCTTGTCGAGAGAGTCACATCTGAGGGCAACGTGGGGTTTTTTCCAGAAACCTTGCACAAATTTGGGCCCTGCTATTTCTTGCAAGGGTAATTTTCCACCCCCTGGTAGTAGGGGAAGAGCAACCCATGGCAGACAGAGGAGCAGGCAGTAGGAACTGGCAAAACCAGTTGTCCTTTTCTTGCTTAGCTGGAAACTTGCTGGATAAGTGTGTTTCTTTGCTCTGGAGACCTTTTCTGGTGAGTCCATGCAGACTAGCAAAGCTCAGCACCCGAAGGTGTCCCCTCAACCCCATTCTGTCCCATTCTCCCCAGCAGACAGCGTGGAGACGGTGAACGAGGTGGAACCTCCCCCCGCTCCTCTCCTCACCACCATCAGTAGCACCTGGAGGAAGCCCAGCGCAGATGAGCTGCTCTCAGCAGTGGAGCCTGTCCTCTCCGAGGCCCTGGTCGGCCAAGTGGGAGCATCCTACCAGGTCAACATCATCCTGCCCAACGGCACCCAGAGCACCTACTTCATAGACCTCTCCTCAGGTCACTGCTCTTTGGGGTTCTTGTGTCGGAGGTGGGAGGGTGTTTGGTGCCTGTGCCCCTTTTGCGTGCTGCAAACCCCACCGAACTTGGTGGTAGGGACTTCCAAACCAAGCCTCTTTGGTAGCTCCATGAAAGGCACCCCAGAGTCCACCAGCTGAGCACTGCAGTTTGGCGACTGTGGCCTTGAGTCCATGCTCCCTGAAGTCCAAAATATAATTTGTTTTGGGTTAAAATAATGAATTTTCCTTCAGAAAGAGAGTATTAATGGAAAATTGGCAGCCAGATCTCCTGGCCAAGCGGGATGTCTCAGAGACCTCAGGGTTTGTTGGCTCTTGTATGCCACTAGCCCAAGGAGGTAGTGATGGAGGGACATGTGTGGGCAGTGCTTTGGGCCACTGCCACGCTGGAAGATGTCCTCCCAGTATCCTAATCCTTCTCCCCCATGGTTGCTGATGGTTTTCCTGGTGGCTGTGGCAAAAGTAGAATAGGGCTTGGAAAAGGACCACTGTAACAGGACATTGGTGGAGCAACACAAGAGAAACTTACCTCCATGAGGAGTAAGGACTCCTGTCTCCAAAATCCCCCGGCCAGGCCCTTGTCTGTCATCTGGCTCAACGCAATCCTTATGAAATGGTGGAGGGAAACACCGGCAGGTAAGGCCAGATCCTGAAGCCCACTGTTTCTCCCTCTCCCACCCATCGTGTCCTACAGGCAGTGGGCGAGCTGGCCGTGGCATGCCTGAGGGCAGCCCCGACGTCATTCTGGAGGTGGCGGAGAAAGACCTGCAAGACCTCTTTTTGGGTGACCTGCGCCCCTTGAGTGCCTACATGAGCGGGAGGCTGCAGGTGAAAGGCGACCTGCACCTTGCCCTGAAGCTGGAGGAGCTCGTCAAGGCGATGAAGCAACGTAGATAGAGCATGTGTGTGGGTGCGTGTCTGTGTGCATGTGTCTTTGTAGGTGTGTGAAGGTGGGGGGACATACAGGGGTGCTGCACGGTGGGGACTTGGCCTGCTGGAGCTCCTGCTGCCCTCCCTGTGAAGGCTGCAGGAGTTGGGTGAAGACCTGAGCAGGGAAACTGAGGCTGGGCTCCATTGTCTGTCTTTGTCCTTGGCTTTACCTCCCTTGCCCATCCTTTGCCTACAACGTTAGGGGAACGGAACCAGTTGGGACCCCAGCACGTGCCAGTTTGCTTTCAGGTCCGTTGGCCAATATGCCACCAGGGCACAGACCGATGTCCTCATGTCCCCACAACAGGCTGCATGGCCAGGCATCTCAGACTGGAAGGGGCATGAGCTGGGCAGACTGGATAGAGAAGAGCTGGGGGAAACGGTGGCCAAGGACGGTAGTCATGGGATGGGCAGCCCAAGCGGGGCACAAGGGCTGGCTGGACCAGGCTGAGATGCCACCAGCGGGCTGGAGTTGGGGTCCAGCATGGCACTGCTAATGGGATACTGGCATTTATGGGGAAGGAGCAGAGGTGGCGATTTAGGGAATGACCTGCCTGGAGGTACCTGAGCCTTCACAACACAGCGGTTTGTAATAAGTGATTGCGCTAATTTGTGCTTTAAAGTGCTTTTGCATGCGTGCTGTGAGGTCTGTCCATGGGGGTGTGTGGACTGTATATAGGCATATATAGATATTTATTTATTTTGTAAGCTTCCTTTCTATCAAGTCTCAATGGACAATAAACCTGGTCTGCAGCCTTGCGCTTCGGCAGCGATGGGCTGATGACTTCTGTAGGCAGACGGGGCTGCAACCTTCCGTGCCTCAGTTTCCCCAAGGGACCCCAGGGTGCTGCGTAAAGAGGCCACGGGCGTGGGAGCTGCTGCCAGTCAAGGAGGCTGCGTGGTGGGACTCCATCTCACCCTATGGTCGTGATGAACACACGGAGTCCTACCACAGCAAGGAAGAGTTGTCAGGATGTGGCATGGCCTCTACGAGGATGCTCACCTCCCCAACCGCACCCAGCACCCCAAGGGTTTAAAATGTCTTGGAGCTCCAGGCAGCTTTACCAGCCCCCAAGATATTTTGCCGGACCAGTGGGGCAAGCCTGACTGGTCTTGCTGGCCTGGCCTGTCCATGCAAGGGGCTGCTTGCCAGGGGGGAGCAAGGAGAATTGAAATGTTTCCAAAATGGAAATGTTTGAATTAAAGTGGTTCGTGTTTTGTGGGTGCAATCAGGCCAAACCACCTGCTAAATGTCTTCTTCAAAGCCTGGGGCTGGGTGGCACCAGCCTGGGCCAAGCTTTGGAGATCCTACGGGCATCAAAAGCCCGGAGGGGAGGTGACAACAGTGCCCACCGTGCCCTCTCCCTTTGGGGATGCCAGGCCAGGTGAACCCCAAGCTCCTGGTGGGCCCGCGTTTGTGGTGGTTCCCCGTTGGTGGTGCTCCCCCTTCCATGGTGGTCCCCATGGTGCAGATGGCTGAGGGAGGTACTGGTGCCCTGCAGGATGGGGCAAAGGAGAGC